CTCTCTCTCTCTCTCTCTCTCTCTCTCTCTCTCTCTCTTTCTGTCTCTCTGTCTCTTTCTGGTCAAATTAAAATAAATGACTGAATAAATAAAATTAAATAAAATAGTTAAAAATTTTTAAAAAATTCATAGCTCAGAAGGAATCTAATCACAGACTCTCTTTATTAACGATAGTAATCTCTGACATGTCTAAAAAGTCTATAATCTTAAACTGTGAATAGTAAGTTGTTAATTATCAACTCTACTACGTAACAATTTGCCCCCAAATAGTAGATAACCTGGAAAGATAGCATCTCTTTTTCTAAGAGCATGCTAAATGATGAGGACCACCATGTCTATCTATGGAAAGACTGCTGAGTTGGTTTTATTTTTGGTGAGCTGTTTTGGGATGTGCTTAGAGTTTGAGGTGTCTACAGTACTTTTAGTTGCTTATTTTATTCCTTCCATTCTCTGCTTTATTCAATTAGAGTTTAAGCTTGAGTATCTAGGCTGATCTGGCAGCCTGGTTGGTATGCAGAAAGCAATTCCATATAGCAGAAATGTCTTCCCATGTTAGTAAACCAGACTTTCTCTTTTGAAATTTTTTTTTTTAAGAATTCTTTTTATTTAATTTTATTCATTGTCTTTATTTTATTTTATATTTTTGAAGTTGACCAGAGAGAGAGAAGGAAAGTGAGAAAGCAAGCTGCCAGATCCAGGACTCAAACAGTGGTCAGCCACGTGGGAGTCCAGCTGCCTTCACCACCATGCCACCTACCGGCACTAAACCAGACTTTGATAAGAGTACAGCTAAAGAAACTAATACAGATCTTGTATTTTCATAGGAAGTAGGACACACCTTGGTCCCTTGGGCACAGGATGTGACCTCTGCTTTCTTAGCTTTGTAGTCCACAATTCTTTGGTTTATAGTAAGTGACTGAAGGATTTGAAAATGTCTTTGAAACTTCCTAAAGAAGTGTCTAGTATTCATTCTGTCATCCACGGAGCTCCACAGGGATCTTTTCCCTACTCTGTAGAAGCCACCCTCTTTGTTTGTGCTTGGCTACACAATAATACCCAGTAAGTTTTCCACATAATAAAATATGATATAGTTGACCTAAGCAGATCTATTACCAATATTTTTTTTTTGGAGAGGTTTTTGCTATAAGGCACTTGCACTTGCCAGACAGACAGAGAGACAGAAAGACAAAAAGTGAGAAATTACCCCCCAGGGGGATTGGCCACGCCGCAGTCCCCTCTCCTCCATTCTCCTCTTGGGATCTTGGGCACACACGCACACATGCCCGGAGTGAGTTTTAAGCCACTGGTTCCGGGATTCGAACCATGGTCGACTACATGAGAGTCCAGTAACATAGCCATTGCGCTAACTGCTGGTCCCACCAGTAATTTACAATTTTTTTTTTCTTTTTTTGGAGAGGGTTTTGTTATAGGGCGCGTGTGCTCGCCAGAGAGAGAGAGACAGAGAAACAGAAAGCAAGAAATCACCCCTCCCCCAGGGGGATGGCCACGCTGCAATCCCTTCTCCTCTCAGGATCTTGGGCATGCATGCACACGCGCCCAGCATGAGTTTAAGCCACCAGGTCCAGGACTCGAACTGCGGTTGACTGCATGGGAGTCCAGCAACATAGCCATTATGCCAACTGCTGGTCCCAATAATTTACAATATTTTAAACTTTAGGCCTACCTAGAAAAATTAGCTTAACAGATATCAGTGATGGCCATACTCACATATTTCTACCTACCTTTATTCTTTCTTTTATCCCCTTGGCTAGTCTAAAATGTGAAGAAGTAGAATGGAAATTCTAATATCAGTGACTGAACATTAACAAGTAACAATATACAGACATTTAATTCTGCTTTCTATTTTTAAATTATTTTAAACATTATATTATTATGTCTTTTTTATAAAGTATTGTCAAGTTTTTAGATCCCTTCCACTTGCCTTGTTTTCTCTTCCAACATACCTGTGACATAGGTCCAACAGGTATTGCTGGGCATGCATGGATGAGAAACTGAGCCTGAGAGAGTGACTTGTCCAAGATCAAGAGCAAATTCACATCTACTACGGACACACTTTATATTCGGAAATGTTTATTGTTAGGGATATTTCCTGGCAGCAGTTAGTCCTTCAGCCATGTATACCTAGTAACTTGGCGGCTGAGTCCTCAGTAAATCAAACAGGGTACTGTAACTTTCATCACTATCTTAACTTTGGAAAGTCAATGGAGTTTGTTCAACAGCCGTTAAGAAGTTACATGAGGGAACCAGCAGTTAGCATAATGGCTATGTCGCTAGACTCCCACGTAGTAGACTGCGGTTCGCGTCCCGGAACCGGTGGCTTAAAACTCACGCCGGGCGCGTGTGCGTGCGTGCCCAAGATCCCGAGAGGAGAATGGAGGAGAAGGGATTGCGGTGTGACCATCCCCCCTGGGGGGTGATTTCTCACTTTCTGTCTCTATGTCTCTCTCTGTCTGTCTGGCAAAGAGACAGAGAGAGACAGACAGAAAGTGAGAAATCACCCCCCAGGGGGGATGGTCATGCTGCAATCCCTTCTCCTCCATTCTCCTCTGGCAATCTTGGACACGTATGCACATGCGCCCAGTGTGAGTTTTAAGCCACTGGTTCCGGGATTCGAACCATGGTCGACTACATGAGAGTCCAGTAACATAGCCATTGCGCTAACTGCTGGTCCCACCAGTAATTTACAATTTTTTTTTTCTTTTTTTGGAGAGGGTTTTGTTATAGGGCGCGTGTGCTCGCCAGAGAGAGAGAGACAGAGAAACAGAAAGCAAGAAATCACCCCTCCCCCAGGGGGATGGCCACGCTGCAATCCCTTCTCCTCTCAGGATCTTGGGCATGCATGCACACGCGCCCAGCATGAGTTTAAGCCACCAGGTCCAGGACTCGAACTGCGGTTGACTGCATGGGAGTCCAGCAACATAGCCATTATGCCAACTGCTGGTCCCAATAATTTACAATATTTTAAACTTTAGGCCTACCTAGAAAAATTAGCTTAACAGATATCAGTGATGGCCATACTCACATATTTCTACCTACCTTTATTCTTTCTTTTATCCCCTTGGCTAGTCTAAAATGTGAAGAAGTAGAATGGAAATTCTAATATCAGTGACTGAACATTAACAAGTAACAATATACAGACATTTAATTCTGCTTTCTATTTTTAAATTATTTTAAACATTATATTATTATGTCTTTTTTATAAAGTATTGTCAAGTTTTTAGATCCCTTCCACTTGCCTTGTTTTCTCTTCCAACATACCTGTGACATAGGTCCAACAGGTATTGCTGGGCATGCATGGATGAGAAACTGAGCCTGAGAGAGTGACTTGTCCAAGATCAAGAGCAAATTCACATCTACTACGGACACACTTTATATTCGGAAATGTTTATTGTTAGGGATATTTCCTGGCAGCAGTTAGTCCTTCAGCCATGTATACCTAGTAACTTGGCGGCTGAGTCCTCAGTAAATCAAACAGGGTACTGTAACTTTCATCACTATCTTAACTTTGGAAAGTCAATGGAGTTTGTTCAACAGCCGTTAAGAAGTTACATGAGGGAACCAGCAGTTAGCATAATGGCTATGTCGCTAGACTCCCACGTAGTAGACTGCGGTTCGCGTCCCGGAACCGGTGGCTTAAAACTCACGCCGGGCGCGTGTGCGTGCGTGCCCAAGATCCCGAGAGGAGAATGGAGGAGAAGGGATTGCGGCGTGACCATCCCCCCTGGGGGGTGATTTCTCACTTTCTGTCTCTATGTCTCTCTCTGTCTGTCTGGCAAGCGCATGCTCCCTATAGCAAAAAGCTCTCCAAAAAAAAAAAAAGAAGTTACATGAGTGAAGCACATCAGATTAGGTTTGTAACAGCAGCAGTCCATTCCTTTCCACAGCATCCACCAGACTTTGGAAAAGAAAAGTCCCTTGGCCTACCTTGGTGGTAGGCAAAAGCCCAGTTACCAGTATAGATTTCACTGATAGCACGATACGAGTTTCGTGTCAGTTTTGATGTGCTACAGATCAGATAAATGACAAAAGGTAAAAATTTATAAAAGCCAAAAGATAGGGGCCCAACAGGTGATGTAGTGCTGAAAGCACTGGATCCCACATGGCTGACTCTGTGGTTTGAGTCCCAGAACCAGCGACTTGAAAAACACACCATATGCCTGTGTGTAAGTGCCCAAAATCCTTAAAGGAGAATAGAGAGGAAGAGATTATAGCATGGCCAGCCCCTGGAAGGGGATTTCTCGCTCTCTTTCTGTGTCTCTATTTGTCTCTCTCTGGTGAGCACATGTGTCCAATAGCAAAAATCTTTTAAAAAAAAAAAAAAAGGTAAAAGTTTATAAGAGCTATATTATAAGACCTTTGAAAATAATAAATGGTATCGTATGTAAGGTTAGACCTTAGTTC